AAGGTCTAAGATATCTGATCCCCTTACCCAAACAACGGAAATTGGGGAAAACGTCAGAAGGAAAAATCAATATAGACCTCTGCGCTGTGAGGTCTAGAATGGTTGGTTCAAAATGTCATGAACGTCAACTTCGTGAAAGCGAAACCAATCCATGCCAATCACCAAATCATCGAAACAGCGTGTCATCTTTTTTTGCACTGTGATTGCGCAACACAAATGCAACAAAACCTGATCAAGTTTTTTTGGCTGTTTCCCTTTTGGATGCTGTTGTGTTTGCCAGACGCAGCTTAGAAAATTTTGGACTGGATGATTTCCCCTAATAATGCAGACGATCCTTGTTTGTTTTGAAGGTATGGCCTCACACCTTGGGGTCTGACATCATGTTGTGGATTCAAAGTTGGTATTATCCTAGGGTTTTGTGAAACAAGGATTTGATTTCAGACCCAGGTTGCTACCACAGTTTCCTTTGGGGAAGCGGTGCGGGACCACAGTGAGACGCGCAGTGCAGGTCTAGAATGATGTTCCTAATCCATATGATACAGCAGCAGAGCTGCTTTTATACAATACATTCATGGTAGACCCAATATATCTCAACATCTTTGTAAAATATATAGTTTTATATTTTATATTCAGAAACATCCAGAAACCTGATCAAGTTTTTTTGCTGTTTCCCTTTGGATGTTTTTGTGTCAGTGTTGGAAGTGTCGAGACTTGGACAAGGTTTGAGAATCTTTGGGGATGGCTTTGCATGTTGAGCGTGCAGCAACCGTGCATGAGGTGCATGTACATGCGTTTTTTTCGGACACTGCGCGGGCCCAGAGTGAGACGCGCAGTGCAGGTCTAGAATGATGTTCTTAATCCATATGATACAGCAGCAGAGCTGCTTTTATACAATACATTCATGGTAGACCCAACATATCTCAACATCTTTGTAAAATATATAGTTGTATATTTTATATCCAGAAACATCCAGAAACCTGATCAAGTTTTTTGCTGTTTCCCTTTGGATGTTGTTGTGTCAGTGTTGGAAGTGTCAAGATTTGAACAAGATGTGAGAATCTTTGGGGATGGCTTTGCATGTTGAGCGTGCAGCAACCGTGCATGAGGTGCATGTACGTGCGTTTTTTCGGACACTGCGCGGGCCCACAGTGAGATGTCAAGGTCTAGGATTACATTCTCAGCGCATATGATACAGCAGCAGAGTGCTTTTATATAATGCATTCATGATAGACCTAATATATCTCAACATCTTTTTATAATATATAGATTTTTATTTTATATCCGGAAACATCCAGAAACCTGATCATGGTGTTTTTTTGCTGTTTCCCTTTTGGATCCTGTTGTGTTTGCCAGACGCAGCTTAGAGAATTTTGGACTGGATGATTTCCCTTAATAATGCAGACGATCATTGTTTGTTTTGAAGGTATGGCCTCACACCTGAGGGTCTGACATCATATTGTGGCTTCAAAGTTGGTATTATCCCAGGCTTTTGTGAAACAAGGATTTGATTTCAGACCCAGGTTGCTACCACAGTTTCCTTTCTGGAAGCGCTGCGGGACCACAGTGAGACGCGCAGTGCAGGTCTAGAATGATGTTCTTAATCCATATGATACAGCAGCAGAGCTGCTTTTATACAATACATTCATGGTAGACCCGATATATCTCAACATCTTTGTAAAATATATAGTTTTATATTTTATATCCAGAAACATCCAGAAACCTGATCAAGTTTTTTGCTGTTTCCCTTTGGATGTTTTTGTGTCAGTCTTTGGGGATGTCTTCGTGAAACAACGTGTCACTCTTCTTTCAAAAGCTAAAAGTGATGTTTCGCAACTTGATGATTCCAACAAAATTGGACAACAGATGCAAGGGAACACACTGAAAAAGGGTGTTACACAGCGTCGCCACAGCATGAAGCCGCCCGATCACAGGGAACCCTTTGCTGACAGATTTATTTGACCGACCCCCCAAACGCATGTGCAGATTCAGCCAGGCAGACAAGGTCTAAGATCAAGTTATGTTAACATTGAGGCCAAAGGTCTAATATCATATTTGTTTTCGAAGATGGGTTATGTTGTACAAACCTGAAGGTCTAACATCTTCCCAGCACGAAGGTCTATTATACTTCAGTAGGGACTGTAGACCTAGCTAAAAAAATTCCCTGAGCTACCGGCATTCCAGACCCTGACTAGTTGAGGGGATGCAAAATCGCGATTTGGTTTCTCCTTCATGGACCATTCCCTGAACGAACGAAACGCGCGTCGATCCTGAAAACGGAGGAAAAAGCGCAATATCCTTGCACCGGACTGGGGTCAGAAGTTTGTGTGTGTGTGCAAAAAGTTTTTGTGTGTAAAAGCTCCTGCGTCTAAAAGTTTGTTTGCGTGTTGAACGGGTTTTGGGTGCAAAAGCTCTCTGCGTAAAAGCTCTGAGACTCTGTGTGTGAGAGCATCTATGTAGAAACATCTGTGCAAAAGTTCTTTGGTGTAAAAGCTTCTCTGTCTGTGTGCTGCGTCTGTGTGTGTGAAAGGTTACGCATGGAAAAGCATCTGTGTCAAAAAAAACTTCTGTGTAAAGGCACCTGAGTGTGAAAGCTTACGCTTGCAAGAGCACCTCTGGCAAAAGTATGCAAAAGTTGTGTGTGTGTGTATGTGTGTAAAAAGCCTCTGTGTGGAAACGGTTCTGTGTGTGTGTGTATGTGTAAAAGTAAATATTGCTTTGTACAAGCTGTCTGTGTGTCAGTGCAGAAGCTTTCTGTGTGAAAGTATCTGTGTGATTCTGTGCAAACTAAACATTCTGTGTAAAAGGTTCTGCGTGTTGTCTGTAAGGGCGCCTGTGCGTCAAAGCTTTTGTGTGAAAATACAAATGTTTAAAAACCATCTGTTTGTAGAGCCTTCTCTGTGTAAACGCTTCGGTGTGTCAAGCCTTTTGTGCCCAAAAGCTTCTGTGTAAAAACGCGGGTGCAACAGCGCCTGTGCGTAAAGTATTTGCCAGAGCACCTGAGTGCAAAAGCGTCCAAAGGCACCTATGCGTCAAAGCTTCTGTGTGTAAAAGTTTGCGCGTAAAAGCTTGCTTGCGCAAAAGCTCCTGCGTGTGAAAGTTTTTGTGTGAAAAAACGCGGGCGCGCAAAAGTTTCCTGTGTGTAAAGGCTTGCTGTGTGTAAAAGCGATTGCGTAGCAGAGCCTGTGTGTAAAGTAGCGCAAAGTACCGCCCCACAACGAGAGCGATCCAACATGCACATACACACGCAAAGTGATGGGAAGGTCGCGAGAGAGATGTCAAAATGAGCCCCGCACCACAACGAGACAATCCAACAAGGGCAGAGTGATGAGAGGGTCGCGCGAGCGTTATATCAAACTGAGCACGCCGCCACAAAGAGAGCGATCCGACACGCACAAAGTGATGAGAGGGCTGCGCGCAAGGCCATGTTTTAATTTGACCAAGTACTGCGCGAAAGCGAAAGTTCGACTCAAAATGTAAAAAACTGAAAAACATTGAAAAACGATATATAGCCCAGGTTTCAATCACTTTTTAGTCGAAGTCTCTAAAAGTACTGCACCTGCTACGAAATAACAACGCACCTGAGGCATGGCACCTGCCACTCAAAATGATGACCAAGTACCACATTGGAAAAGACCATCGTCCAAGTTCAACAAATATCGCGCGTGCCATGTGAATGAAAAAGTGCCCGATGTCTTGCGCCCTTTGCCTGCCACGCATTCTAACCCTCCGAAAATATGCCAAAATGCCACATCTGCTGCACCTAAAACGGACACGGCAATAGAGGTCTTCTAGAACCGTTTCGTGTGAGGTTTCCTGCGAAAAAGGAAGATTGAGGAACTTTTACGCTGCAAGGGTCACCAAACAAGGCGAACACATATGCGCCCACCTTCGATCCACCAAGCCTTGAACCAGTACCGTGAAGACCCCAAGTGTGAACACATTGGGGAAACATCAAGCGGAATTCCACGCACCAATATCAAAATAGATACAAACCATATTATATAAATCCACATTTAAACGGACGACTCTATATGAATGAACCGACACCATTAAAAAAAACGCCTTGAATATTTCTGCATCTCGTATTATATAGTTTCATTTGTCAATACCCAATGTATCAATTTGTAGTTATATATATATAGTTTTATATATATATATATAGTTATAACTTTAAAAAACAATTTCCAAGTACATTTCTATAATTTTCTATACAAATACCAAGCATTTCTACGAAATAACATCAAAACAAAACAATTTAAACGCCAAGAGCCTGCTCAACAACAAAAATATTTACCGCTTTCTTTATCAAACACCGATTTATAGGCGGACCAAAAATTATGTGAAGTCCAAGAAAAGACACCTTCCAGAAGGCATTGACACCAACAACCGCAAAGAAGTGTTTGAGCCAACGGTATTTCACCGCCAGGAGCCTTCTGTGCTGAACATTTTTCCACAAAGGATCTTTGACAGCTACCAAAAGCCTGGTTTGCCAACCTATTTACACCAAGCAGCTGTGGTGCCAACCAATTTTTGCATCAAGCAGCTTCTGCAGCACAAGCTTTCAACAACAAACAATTTTGAATCACAGTGGCCAAGTGTCCACGGCTGGCTTGGCCACGTCAACATTTATTCGGATGCTGCTGGGAACAACTCTTATTGCTGACGACGGTGGGCCGGTGGTGCACCTTCAAATCAAAGCTTTTTCTCCACCCGACCCCACTCCCGCTTTCAACCTTGCATCAACTCCGCGCAGAGCGTAGGTACAGAATAGCATCAGCGCGCGCGTTGTACAATGTAGCACGGCTTCATGCACACCCTGGATTGAGCGCCATTACCCCAGCCCAACCCAACATAACACGCGTTTTACGAACGCCAGAATTATGTAGCATAATTACCTGAATATGAAAAGAAATGACTCGAAACTCCGCTCATTTTCACCTTTACACTTTACATCTACTACTGATGCCAAGACACAGCTGCAAGTCAGCCTCGGTATTTTTATCAAGTCCAGATCTGCACAGGTTTACCTAGACTGATACCAGATCCCAGAAGGTTGCCAGGATCTCGAATTGTAGCTAGCAATGGCGTGCAAACAACTCAGCGCAAAGGCGAAGCAGTGTAGTTGGCCCAGTCACCCCAGGCGCTTCCGGTCAAGCCATCCTGGCAACATGGTCAAGTTGTGAGTGGGCAAACCCGCACGGCCAAAGCATACAGACAGTGAGACATATGCATGCATACATCACATACATTACATACATACCATACGTACCACCATACATACCACACATACCCTTACAAACCCTTGCGTCACGTACCCTTACATTAAATTCCCTTACGTTACATGAACTTACACACCATACCCCTACATTGCATAAGCTACATGACATACCCTTACATGACATACCCTTACATGATATACCCTTACATGACAGACCCTTACATTGCATGCCCTTACATTACATGAACTTGCATTTCATACCCTACATTACAAAACCTTACATGACATACCCTTACATGACATACCCTTACATGATATACCCTTACATGACAGACCCTTACATTGCATGCCCTTACATTACATGAACTTGCATTTCATACCCTACATTACAAAACCTTACATGACATACCCTTACATGACATACCCTTACAGCCAGGTTGCGGTCTGAGTCGGCAACCAAAAGGTCTGAGTCGGCAACTATGAGTCGGCAACCAAAAAAGGGCTGAGTCGGCAACCAAAACGAGTCTGAGTCGACAACCAAAAGCGCTGAGTCGGCAACTTTGAGTCGGCAACTAAGAAAGCGCTGAGTCGGCAACTAAGAAAGCGCTGAGTCGGCAACCAAAAAAGCGCCATTTCGGCAACCAAAAACCGAAGTCCTCTAAAATAGAGGCGGCAAATCCGATTCCAGCTCTAGAGACTCCGTTCAGCTTTAAAATAGAGGCAGTAGCTCTGTTTGAAACTCCCGTCTCATCTAAAATAGAGGAAGTAGCTCCATTTGAAACTCCCTTCTCCTCTGAGATAGAGGCAGTAGCTCCGTTTGAAGGCAGCCCCCCCGAAACCCCCCCAACCAACACCCAGCGTATGAACACCTATGTCACGTCAATGAAGATGATCCATGAAGAACGCACTAGCAAGAACGTATCACACCCCACCCCACCCACCCCCCCCCGAAACCCCCCCCCAACCACACCCAGCGTATGAACACTTATGTCACGTCAATGAAATGATCCATGAAGAACGCTATTAGCAAGAACGTTATCACACCCCCCCCACCCCCACCCACCCCCCCCCCCGAAACCCCCCCAACCAACACCCAGCGTATGAACACCTATGTCACGTCAATGAAGATGATCCATGAAGAACGCACTAGCAAGAACGTATCACACCCCACCCCACCCCTGGCTCAGTTGCGCCTCTATTTTAAAGGAGAAAAGAACATTGAATCCGTGCTGCGCCTTTATTTTGAAGGGGAACGGAGAATTTGCAGTAGTAGCTGTACCCCACCCCACCCCTAGTTGACTTGCGCCTCTATTTTAGAGGCGAAAGGAGCATTGAATCTGTCCTGCGCCTTTGTTTTAAAGGAGAATTTTTGGTTGCTGAAAAGGTCCTTTTTTGGTTGCTGAAAAGGTCCTTTTTTAGTTTCTGACTCGGTCGGTCTTGGTTGCTGACTCGGTCGTTCTTGGTTGCTGGCTCGGATGTTCTTGGTTGCTGACTCGGTTGGTTGCTGACTCGGCTGCTTTAGTTGCTGACTCTTGGTTGCTGACTCGGGCGTTTGTAGTTGCTGACTCGGTTGTTTTTAGTTGCTGACTCGTAGTTGCTGACTCGGTTGGTTGCTGACTCGGTCAATGTTCCTTACAGGACATACCCTTACATGACATAGTTTTACATGACATGCAATTACATTGCATACCATTGCATTACATACCCTTACGTTACATACACATAGACATACACAACCACACACATACATACACTTACACGTACACATACACATACATATACATTTGCATGTGCATTTTCATGTACATGTACATTTACATATACATATACGTATACATGTACAAATGCAAATACACAAAAAAATCATACCTTCATACATTTCATACACTCCATACATTCGGTGCAGTCCATACAAGTTACATCACACATTACATCACATTACATCACATTACATCACATTACATCACATTACATCACATTGCATCACATTACATGACACCCATGCATAGATAACAAACATTACATAAATTACATATATTACATGCATTACATACATTACATACAATACAAAGACTAGATAAAATACATACATTGCATACATTACACGCACACACTAGGTGCATTACATACATTGCATACAATGCATACAGTACATACAATACATATTACATTCAACACATTCAATACATACACTGCAAACAAAATCCATACATACATTACATTGCATTACATTACATTTCACATGACGTTGCTTCACATCAAGTTACATTACACCACACCACTTCACATTGCATTACATAACATCACACTACAGTATGATACATTAGATACATTACATGCATTACATAGAATAACAAAACATCACAAAACAAAACACAACATAACATAACACGCATGAATGCATGCTTACATACAAACATGCATGGACACGCACATAACTACCGACCGACCGACAAAACTACATACATACATACATACATACATACATACATACATACATACATACATACATACATACATACATACATACATACATACATACATACATACATACATACAGTACATACAGTACATGCAGTACATGCAGTACATACAATACATTCAATACATACAACACATACAATACATCCAATACATACAATACATACATTACATACATTACATACAATACATACAATACATTCAGTACATGCAATACATACAGTACATACAGTACATACAAAACATACAATACATACAATACATACAATACATACAATACATACACTACATACAATACATACAATACATACAATAATACAATAATACAATAATACAAAAATACAATAATACAATAATTAATACATACCTACCTACCTACATACATACCTACCTACCTACATACATACATACACACATTACAATACATACATACATACATACATACATTCATACATACATTCATACATTCATACATTCATACATTCATACATCATATACATTACACACGTTACATACATTACATGCATTACATGCATTACATACATACATACACACACACGTTAAATACATCACATAGATTACATGCATTGCATGCATTGCATACATTGCATACATTACATACATTGCATGCATTACATACACTACATACATTACATACATTAAATACATTGCATACATTTCATAAAATACATGCATTACATACATTACATACATTACATACATTACATACATTACATACATTACATACATTACATACAATACATGCATTACATACATTACATACATTACATACATTACATGCATTGCATACATTGCATGCATTGCATGCATTGCATGCATTACATGCATTACATACGTACATACATTACATGCATTACATGCACTACATACATTACATACATTACATACATTGCATACATAACATACATAACATACATTACATACATTGCATGCATTACATACATAACATACATACATGCATTACATACATTACATACATTACATACATTACATGCATTACATACATTACATACATTACATACATTACATACATTACATACATTACATACATTACATACATTGCATACAATACATGCATTACATACATTACATACATTACATACATTACATACATTGCATACAATACATGCATTACATACATAACATACATTACATGCATTACATGCATTACATGCATTACATGCATTACATGCATGCATGCATGCATGCACGCATACATACATACATACACACATACATTACATACGTTACATACATTACATACATTACATGCATTACATACATTACATACGTTACATACATGACATATATTACATGCATTACATATATTACATACATTACATTCATTGCATACATTGCATACATACAAACATACATAACATACATAACATTACATAACATACATAGCATACATAACATACATAACATACATAACATACATAACATACATTACATACAATACATGCATTACATACATAACATACATAACAAAACATAACATTACATTACATTACATTACATACATTACATATATTACATACATTGCATACATTACATACATTACATTCATTGCATACATTGCATACATACATACATACATACATACATACATGCATTACATACATACATACATACATACATACATACATACAAACATACATACATACATACTTACATGCATACATACATACATACTTACATGCATCCATCCATCCATCCATCCATCCATACATACATACATACATCCATACATACATACATACATACATCATACATACATACATACATACATACATGCATACATACAAACATACATACATACATGCATGCATGCATGCAAACATACATACATACATACACATACATACATACATACATACATTAAATACGTTACATACATACATGGCATTCCATTCGATTCCATTCCATTCCATTACATTACATGACATACATTACATACATAGATACATAGATACATACATTCATGCATGCATGCATACACAACAAAACAGAACATAACATAACAAAACATAACTTCATACGTACATACATACATACAGAACATTACATTACATACATTACATTACATTACATTACATTACAAAACAAAACAAAACAAAACAAAACAAAACGTTACATACATTACATACATTACATACATTACATACATACATACATTACATGTTTATACGTTACACTACATTACATTGTATTGCATTACGTTACAAAGCGTTACATTACATTACATTACGCTACATATCATTACACTACATAACATTA